CTCCTCCTCCTCCTTCTTCTCTTCCTCCACCTTCTCCTCCTCCTCCTTCTTCTCTTCCTCCTCCTTCTTCTCCTGCTTCTTTTCCTCCTCCACCTTCTTCTCCTCCTCCTCCTCCACCACCTTCTTCTCTTCCTCCTCCTTCTTCTCCTCCTCCCTCTTCTCTTCCTCCTCCTCCTTCTTCCCTTCCTCCTGCTCCTTCTCTTCCTCCACCTTCTTCTCCTCTGCCTTCTTATTCTCTTCCTCCTCCTCCTCCTTCTCTTCCTCCTGCTCTTTCTCTTCCTCCTCCCATTTTTTCTTCTCTTCCTCCTGCTCCTTCTCTTCCTCCTCCCATTTTTCCTTCTCTTCCTCCTCCTTTTCCTCCTTGGTAGTGCTTGGGGAGCTCAACCACAGTCTGGGAAGGAGAAACTCATTAAGTAAAATCCACAAAGTATGTCTGAACCTCACATGAGGAGTCCTGCCGGTCTCCCCAACCCCTTTGGCCAGAGATGCTCTCCCTCCATCCCCCAGCCAACCTCCCAGGGGGGTTGGATATGCTGGAGCATAACTGGGCATACACTGTTTCACATCCCATTAGTGTCTACAGCTCCAAGCAGGTGGGAAGGAGAGCGGGAAGGAGTTTGGGAACCCAAAACCAGAGTCCTTGAGCCTTCAGATTCCCCTTGCTGCATGGGAAGAGGGTGTGCTTAAGGGTCACTGTTTGCTGATTTTGACCAAAACCTCCTGTTAATGAAATCCAGCCCCCAGGACAGGCTGTGCTTGCTGCCCACAGCTTCTCACAGCTTCTGTAGTAAGGGGCAAAAAAATCTGAAAAATATTTTTATAGCATGCCCAGTGTTTTCTGGTTGAGCAGGAGAGACCTCTGCTGAGCCAGTGTGGCTCAGGGCATTGCTTGTGCTTAGTGCAGTTGAGCATTGCCAGTGTTGGGAGGTGGGGACCACTGTGTTAGCCCATGCTGGGCTCAGGGAGCATTTTGGGGGTCTCAGAAACCCTTTGCGAGTGTGCATGGGCACCTCTCACCCCCCTGCTGCAACACAGCCTGCTTCTGGCTCTGAACACACTGCCCAGCCCTTGGGAGAACCTCAGCAGGTGTTTCTTTTGGGAGAAGTAGAGTGAATTCTACAGAGACAAATCCTATTTCTGAATGTCATTACAGCTGAATGTGCAACTGCTGGGAACAAGGTCCAAGCCCTCTTGCTTTTAGGGCCAAAATCTTACAGGAGCCTAAGCAGAGCCTCCCTCAGCTGTCCTTTGCAGGGCACTGTGAGCATTGCACTGATGGCTCTGCCACCACCTGCCCCAACCCAAACCTCAACACCAGAAGCAGAGGACATTTGCTGAAACACCTTTTGGGTTCTTCTGGTGGATGCCCCCCTCCTCCAAAACAGGCACCTCAGTTGCCAGCTCCACCACCAGTGCTGGCAAGGAGGGATGCCTGGGGACATGCTTGTCCCCTCCCATGGCCACCACACTGGTGACTGGAGAACGTGTAAACCCGCCCATCAACAGCATCTTCCTTCTCCTACCTGTTTTCTTCTTCTTCCTGAGGTTCCTCCTGTATGGGGGGAAGGGAACGAGCATCTGCCTCTGGCTCAGCCTTGTGACTCCAGGCCATCATCTCACATGTGTCTTCATTAACCTGGTCATCAGTGATCTCTTCCAGGATGAGGTGGGTCTCCTCGGGTTCCCCAGGGGGTATATGAACTGAAATTGGAATGGGGAAAGGGAGGTGATGAAGTGAGAGTGTGAAAGCATGTTCTCAAGGGGTCAGATGTAGGGCCAGGGTGGATCCTGTGTTTCATCTGCTTGATGCTGCAGTGCTGAAGCAGCTCTCAGCCGGCACAGATTTGGGCAGCCCTGGTGACCCCAAGCTGTGCTGGGCAGATGCCTTGGGCCCTTTGCCAGAAGGAAAAAGAAAATTCACCATTTTGTGCCAAACACAGCCAAAGCCCTGTGAAGCCCTTGAGCAACCTGGTCTCGTGCAAAGTAACCCTGCCCACAGCAGGGGAGTTAACACTGGATGAATTTAAGGTCCCTTCCAACCCCAACCATTCTGTGATTCTATGTAAGCTATAACCCTCTGCACACAGATGACTGCTGGCTTCCCTGCATGTGTAGCCACCTCCACCAGCAGCCATCTGGCCTGTTTCCAGGCCACATTTTGTCTCTCCTTGCAGTCAGGAGCAGCCAAGGGAAGATCCCAAAGCCTCTCCCTTTGTGAACTCCCAGCAAAGTGCTGCCCTGGCACAGCCCAAGGGCCCTGGATCTGCAGAGCAAAACCCAACCCAGAGCCCACATTGCAACACCCAAGCACCACACCATGCCTGCTCCAAACACTCCCCTGGCCACGGTGTAGGGAGCATCCCATGCACACTGCCACTGCCCAGCATCAGTGGGGAAAAACCCATGGTGGGTTAGTGGGGTGATGCCAGCCCATATCCATGGCAGGTTTCTGGGGGAGCTGTGCAGCAGCTGCAGGGTGAGGAGTGCAGGTCTGACCCATGTTGAGCCCTCTCTGTGTCCCAGGGGTACCCATCCTACCACGTCAGGCACACACCAGAGAAACAGGAGGAGGAAGCACATCCGCTTACTGTAAAATCAGTTTATTTTGATGTCTGCCTGACAACAAAACTTACATGTCCACAGTGAAGCTGAAAGGAAACATGCAAATTCAGCTACAGAAAGGCAGGAAACCCAGGCACGCTTGTACCAGTGCTGTATTCACCCACCTCAAGGTGTCCATGATATTCCCTCTAGATCTCTGTTAATTAAAACATGGGACAGCAAGCAGGGAGGTGGCTTTTAAAACACGCCATGGCTTTTGTATACATTATATGAAAATGGGGCAAATACTAAAATTGTGGCCTGGTACAAGCAGGGGATGGATCTCAGGGTGGTCTCTTGGCTCACGACTCATCATTATTGGTGGCCTAGATGGGCCTAAAGACTTGCAATGAGATGGTGGGAGATCTTAGACCAGCCTGTCAATACATCAGGGGGCTTATACAAGAGATGGAGAAAGACTTTTTACCAAAGTCAGTGGTAGGTGTTGGGGAGTCAGGGGAGTTGGACCAGATCGTATTCAAAGGTCCCTCGCAAAGGTCCCTAGTCTGAGATTCCAAGGTCTGTACCCAACACTGGGGGTGTAGGGGTTCTCAGCCCATCGAGCCCAGTGTGCCTGCACTGGCTGTGCCTGCCTGCACTCCTCCAGGCTGGAGACAGCTCCTGGGATCCCTTCCCTGCCAAGACACTCCTGCCACTGTGGTTAATGCTGCATCCAAGGAGCTGTGAGCTTCAGGAGGGAGCAGCTGTTGTTGGGGGTAAGGAGAGTTTGGGGTAAGTTCTCTTAGAAGGAGAGTCTGGGCAAAGGTTTTTAACCATTAAGTCCTACCTATTCACCTAGAGATTAACCTCACCCATCTGATTTGCTGCTGCAAACCAGAACCCTTTCCACTTGCTGGGAGAAAACACTCAGTTAGTGGAAGAAAAGCAATAAGGAGCTGACAAGAGCTTCAAGAGCTTTATAACATTACACCTCAGAGGCAGAAGTTGACTCAAAGAAACCTGTGGGTTTCAGCTGGAGGTCTCAGACTGAATATTCAGATTTTAGGGGAGCATTGAGAGAGCCAGGAGTGCTGGGAGACTGCAGCAAGAGGCTTTCTGCCACCGAGGTGTCCTGAGTGATGCTTTTCTACCATCTTATAAATTGTAGCTCCCATCTCATAGACATTGTCCTGCAAAACTAATAGCTCCAGTTCCCAGAGAAAAGAGGGAGCCAAGTGGGGCAGCCCTGGGACTGGGGACATGCAGCTGGCATCTCTGTGCCAGGCTTGGGTCCCCACTGCCCCAGCTGGGAAGGAGCTAGAGACTATTTTGCAAATTCCCCATTGCTTTTCCTCCCCAGCTGCGCTTTCTCCTCAGGTTGGTCTCATTTGGGTGTGGGAAGGGCTGGTTTGCCATGGTCTTCGTTTTCCGTTTGTTTCAGAGGCGCTAAGCCCCTTTGCCCCCTGAAACAAAAGGAGAAGGAAAACATTAATGAGCGTGCTGGCAGTCTGGGGCCAGGGCAGATCTCTTGTTCAACCCAATAAGTGACCTGGAGATGCCTCAAGGCACCAAAGCCGGCTGTGCACCAAGGCTGTGCCTGCCCAGCACATCCCTGGCTTTGCCTCTTTCAGAGCTCCGTGGCAATGCACAGGTCTCCAGTTTGTATGAACACAGGAGAAATGCCCCTTCCCAGGATTTCACTCTCTGAGGTTCTGCCAAGCTGTTGGTGGCTCAGCAGGAGCGACCTCCTGGCGTGTTCCTGGGGGATGTTCCTGAGGGATGTGCAGCTTCCGTGTGCCTCAGCGGGTCCCTGCTCCCGTCAGCAGCTCCCCCAGCCCAACCAGTCACTCCTTGCCAGGGACAGCACTTGCATGGGGCTGTGCAACCCTGCCCAGTCCATCCAGAGTGGCTCTGCCATTTTGTCCAGTATCCCCCAACGTGGCTGGTGGGGGGAGCCAAGCCCGACTGCCTGCAGAGCCAGTGCTTGATCCCCTCCACAGGCAGGCAAGAAGCAGTGTGAACCCCACAAGTTTTTCCACAACCATGCAGACTCATATCTAACACACCTAATCCCAGGATTTTGTTTCCCTGAAGTACCTTCCTAGACAACTCCCACCAGGCTTGGCAAACACATTCCAGCTTTAGCAGCAAGCATGCCAGAGGAGGGAAAGAAGGCAGCAGGTTTGAATTCCCTTTGATCAAATCCCACCAGCTCAGCAAACATCCTCCAGCACAGCTCGAGGACAGATCTTGAGATCAGCACTAACTTCAAAACCTGGGACCTGAGGATGGTGGGATGCTGCACTTAGAGATTCCCACAAACCCTGAGCTTTACCAAATCCCTGCCACAACTCCACAGCCACTCCCATTTCTCAAGCATCAACAGCCTCCCATGGCTTTCCCAGGGGATTCCAAGGGCTCCCAAGGTGGCACCCAGGGCAGATCAGGGGATAAAAGATGACAGTGACCCCTCTTCCCAATAACCTTTCTGATAAGCTCAACAATCAAACTCACAGTGAGATGGAGCCACCACTTACTTTGTTCCACGGGACTCAAGGTTGCTGAGGCCACTCCCTGCCAGGAGGAAAAGGGAAATATGACTCATTGTCCATTTTCAGTAATTTCTAATCTAAATACCCATTTGCAGTAAAAGTGGCCCTATTACCCTAAATACCCCACGTGATTTCTCATGTCAAGTTGGATGGCTTGGCTGTGGACACACGTGATAATACGGGGCAGAGCACATTGGTGAGCTCGCCTGGGGGCAAGAGCAGGAAAGGAGAGCATGTAAACCTGCTGCTGCTGCTTATCCTTAGAACTGGGACTGCACTTGGGTGAGGTGCCAGGGCCTGGGCACCACCCAGTGCTGCACAGAAAGGCAAGAAAATGGTAAAGAAAACATGCTGCAGGCTCTCGTGCTGCTTAGAAGCCAAATCCTGGTTTTCATCAGCTAAGCAGGTCATGGGCATTTGTTTTCTTGAAGGAGCTGGGTGGCAGCCCAAACCACACCAGGTCCCAGCACTGACCTAGTAGCTTCTGCATTGCAAGGGACATCCTCCTCAGCAGGGACATGATGTCTCTATGCTCTTTGCCTATCCAGCAGACAGCATACCTGTGTGTCCTGCTTCCCCCTGGTCACTGGCTGTGGCAGCACTGTCTCCAGCTTCTGGACAAACCAGATGAACATCCTGGTGACAAGAAACCAGTGTTAGAACTGGCAGCCAGAACCTTTGCTCCCACATCAGCCAACCTTCTGGCCACCAGACCCAGGCAGAAATTGCCCTGTGGTTACCTGAGGCCATCCAGAGCCACAGACTGAGTGGTGAGGGTGGTCACTGGCTCTGGCTGCCCCGTGGCAGCTGCTGGTGTCTCTGCCACTGAGGTGCTCAGGGCAGCTGAAAGGCGGGGTTTTGGCTTTGCCGTCGTTTCAGTCCTTTTTGTGCCTGCTCAGGTTTATTTGGAAGAAGAAGGGGGATGAGGCAATGCAGCAGTCAGAAATTGTTGGGAAGCAGAGCAAGCAAGGAAGGGTCACCTCCCACAGAGGGACAGGCCTGGGGTACCTCCCTGGCAGCCTCTCCCCTGGGGGCCCAGCCTGGGTTGAGGACATGGGCAGTTTGGGGACAGAAGTGATGTAAGGGCGGTGCTGTGATGCCCACCCCTCTCAGCACAGTGGGAATCCTGGGCATGGAGATGAAGGGCACCCTCAGATGGGCTCTCAGAGGCACAGTGTCTCCTCTGAAAGGGCCACCCAGGGAAGGGGGATTGGATCGCTCACCTTCCACTGTGGCTTCGCACTTCTGATCCTTCTGCTCTGTCTGCAGATAGACAGAGGGACGGATGGATGTGGCACAGCAGTGCCTGCAGCCTCACACCACCCCGTGTGGGCCTGTGCCCGCCCCAAGGAGACCCACACTCTCAACCCCACACATCCTCTGCTGCAGTTTTGTCCCCATTTCCCTGACAACAACCATTGAACCCAGTGTTGTTGCCACCAGCGGGTCCCAACTGGAAGGTCCCCCCTACATGCAGCCAGGTTGAGAACAACAGGACAGCACCCCAAGGTCTCTCTTTTGCTCTACTGAATTCCTTTGGGGTTTTCCTCCCCGAGGTCCCAGCTGGGGTGTGCAGGAGGATGAAGGCAGGGAGCCCACCCTGCTGTCAACCTCTGCCCGGTGGCCCCCCAGTCTCCCTGAGCTGGGCAGTGCTCACCTCCAGCTTTTTCATCCCCTCCGGCTGCGGCACAATCCTCTCAAAGCCCTGTGACAGCCAGCTGAGCACCCGCTTTCCTACCCTGTGGGGAGAGTGCCGTGCTCAGGGAGCTCATCCCGTGCCCTCCTGTCCTCCCCCAGCCCCCTGCCAGCCTCGCTGGGGACCCACCACTCCTCTCTGGGGGCGTCCAAGTCATCCTCGAAGCCGTCCTCCTCTGGATCGAAGGGGATTATGTCTGCAAGGAGAGCGTTGCCGTGGGCATGGGGGACCTGCACTGCTGGAACCTTCAGGTCCCCCCATCAGCCAGCTCAAAGGGACAATGGTGCCAGCATCACCAGTCAGGGAAGTGGGGTGTGGGAGTCCCAGAGAGGCCCCTGGGATGTTGCAAACTACAAGCTCCGAGCTTTCCTTACCAAGACCGTCGTCCTCCTCTGGAAGGACCTGGACCTCTGTCTGAAAAGCCAAACAGACTGTCACCCACCCGACAGCCAAGGTGGGGCTCATCCTATAGGGTGGAGAGGGAACTCTGCCCTTTCCCCAGGGACAGATGAAGGCAGAAAACAATGCAGGGCACATTTAGTGCTCCCAGTTAGCACTGGGAGAGTGATAGGAAGGAAAAAAAGATGTAGAAGCCCAAATACACCAGACTGTTGCTAAGATCTGTCTCCTACCTCATCAGGAACATCAATGCTTGTCTCAAAGCTCTTCCCGAGCACCTGCAGTGTCCCTGGGGGTGGAACTGGCTGGGGAATCACCCTCCTTATCCCATAGGAGAGCCAGAAGCGCACACTGCTCCCCATGCTGCCAGAGAAGGGAGCGAGTCAGGCTGGGAACGCCATCCCAGGCATCCAGCCCCCAACAGAAAGCAAAATCCCAAGCAAACCATGTTGCACACTGGAGGGTGCAAGAGCCATACCTCTCAAACATAGAACCTGTGTCCTCAGGGATCACAAATTCTACTTTCTTTACTAGTTCTTCAATGGCAGCAGGGGAAAAAAACAAAGGCAAGCTCCTGTCACCACTCTGGCAGCCCCCAGCAGGAGGGGGACCAGTTGGTAAAGGAACATGACCTGTGGCCTGAGCCAGTGTGGGGCTTACCCTCAGTGCGTGCCTGGTCAGCAACATCCGTGGGGCCACTGGCTTTTCCTGCTGGTGCCTTCAGGGTAAAAGGCAGAAGGTGTCAGAGAGTCAGAGGGTGAGGCACGGTGGACACTGTCCCTGCTCAAAGGTGGCTGCAAACCCCAGGGACTCCCCATCCTTCCTGCTGCTTCCCAGCAGCTCAGAGCAGGGAAGTGTCCCGGCCCCCATCCCTCTTGGGGATACTGCAGAGCATCCCTGGGTGCCAAAGAGCTGGGGATGGACGCAGAGGCACAGGCATTTCTCCATACAGGTCACAGCGTCCCCATTACCCCCCAAATTGGCTCCCTGCTCACCTTAACTGGCTCCGGCTCCTGTGCTGGGGCCCGCGGGCTCTCCTCCGTCACCGGGGGCACCGGGGGCTGGGGAACCACCCGGTTGATCCAGCCCATCATCCCGCTGCCTGCGGGCAGTGAGGAGGGGTCTCCAGCCTACAAGAGGCCAGCAGCAGGGGTGCAGCCCCCCAAGGAATACCGGGTGCACCAGCTGCTCACGCTGTCTCCAGAGCAGCCCAAAGAGGTCCTTGGTGTCCTTCCGTTTCGGTGTTCTGCTTGGGAAACGTGGCACTGCTCAACCTGGGAGTGTCTTCTGCTGCTGCCCTTCCAAAGAGCCACGCTCTGCCCCAAATGCCCCTCCAAGGACACCCCACACTGCCCAATGAGGGGCCCGGGAGCACCTCGGGCAGTCCCTATGCTGCTGCTCGCAGATGATGCCTGCAAAGGGCAAAAGAAAGCAGATCCCTGAGCTCCTTCCAGCCCAGCTGGGACACAGCATGGGACTTTCAATCCCAGGTAGACACATGACCCCAGTCCCACACGCAGCAGGTACAGGCTGGAAGCGGCTCAGCGCTGGGCTCTTCGCATTAATGCAGCCTTTAGGCGTGCAGGACACCTTCAGTTCCCTCAACATGGTTCATAGGGGGCTATCCAAAGCCTGGCTCCTTAAATCTAAACAGGTCAAGGTTCCCAGGAAGGGTGATGTGTGCCCTCAGCCCTTTGCTTGCCCACACCTTGGGAAGTCAAGGAGCCGGGTTTGGATGCAGCTGAAGCAGCACCTCCAGCCCCCAGCACACCACAGACAGGGTCAGCTCTCCCAGAGAACCCCACATCCCCAAAACTAGATAGTGTGGCTGTAAAACCAGACAACCAGAAACCAATTAAATTGCCTTTTACCAGCCACTGGTTGTAAAGGATTAAGGAGACGCGAATGCCCCAGGAGCAGGAAGGAAAACCCGGCAGCCCCACACAGCAGAGGCATTTCCACCCATGCTTTGGCACAGGTCCCAAGGAAGCACAGGGTCAGCGTACAGCACTGAGCCCAAACAATCCAGAGAAAGCCCCCCAGGGCTTCAGCGAGCCCCCCTGACAGTCAGGATCCCCTCCTCCCTTGAGGTAAGCTTGTGAAGCTGTAAAAGCCTAGAGCATAAGCCTGTCCTTGGTCTGGGAAGGAAAGTGGAGGGCAGAGGCCATTCCTCTGACACGTCTGAACAAGAAAGGGGCAGAAACATCTGTGGGTCCCCAAAAAACTAGCTGCTGGAAGAAATAGGAATAAGTAGCCAGGATTTGCCCACAGTGGCACGGAAGAGCTGGCAGTTTCATGCATCCCCCTGCGCTGCAGGTACCTACCAGTGCCACCACCTGTTGTGGCAGCTCCATGGGGCTTGTGCCAGCGAGCTAAGGGCCTTAGTCTTATCTCCAAAAGCAAGTGGGGTGCAGACCCACTGTTCCCATTTGGAGCAGGGACCACCATGGCCTTTCCCGCCCCTCCAGCAGCCCATCAAACCCTCCATATTACCCAGCTCCACTGCCCTTGCAACATCACTCCCCATGGACCTGCTCGCTCCCCCAACACAGCTCATCCTCCAGCTCTGTCTTGGAGCACCAACCCCCCCTGTGATGTGCAGAGGTGGTCCTGCAAAAGCCCCAGCCACATCCCTCACCTCCATCGCTGCCACTTACCCCCGCAGACTCACCACCACCTCCCTGGGAAGCCACCCTGGGATGCGTGGGCTCCCTTGGCCACCTCAGCTCGCCACTGACCCCCCCAAACCCGCCTCAATCCGCTCAGGGCTCTGCGGGGATTAGCCCTGCGCTGCCTGCAAATGGGATTACAGGCACCCAGCTGTCCCTAGCGCCCCGGCTCCCAGCAGCCAGCCTGGTTTTGGTGCAGGATAATGCAAAGAAAACCCCCAAACGAAGCAGGTTTGAGCATCCTCAAAATCCCTGGAGCCACCAAAGCTATCCCAGGCACTCACCGGCAGTGCTGCAGGGCAGGGAGTCGTCTCGCCCAGGCGCAGGGGGGTGCAGGAACGTGCAGAAGAGCAGCAGTGGAGCTGCTGAAACCCCGCGGGGTGACACAAGGTGGTGTGATGAGGGTGATGTGCTGAGGGTGCTCCACCCACAGCTCTGCCCCAGCCCCAGAGGATCCAAGGCAGGAGGCAGCAAATCTGTGCTGAGTTGAGCTAAGCCTCCCCTTGCTGAGCCTGCCAATTGCTGCTTGATCCGTTTACCTCCAGTCCTGTTCAACTGCCAGCCTTTCCCACTGCCCCTAATCTCAGTCACGCCCTGGAAGGCAGGTACCAGCAAGGCTTCTCTGCTCGACATCCAGCCCCAGCTCCTGTCTTTGGGTAGAGGGGCCTGGAGCAGTGCTGGAGCCCCTTGACCAAATTCCTCCTTCCCTGGTTCCATGGGTGTCTCCAGCCTGGTGGACAACAAGTACCCATCCTGCCTGGCCCCAGCACTTCTGCAGCTTTGATTCACAGTCAAGGAAACTGTGGCATAGAAACATTTTTTCAGTGACTCAGAGACACATCTCATACATCTCACCTGGCCTGGGTGTGGGATGGAGCAAGTTACATTGACTGCAGGTAGCAGATTCTTCTCTTGCTATCACAGGATTGGGGGTGCAAAACAAACCTCTGGGAAAGCCCCTGTGGGACTGGGGTGCTCAGAGCACAACAGGCATCAGCTTCTGCCTCTTGAACAGTTGCTCCTCTCTGGCAGATCGAGACTTCTGCTTCTGTCCAGAGGCTCCCAGGGAGGAGTTTTACCCTGGGGAGGGAGCACTCCACCTCTGTCAAGGGGCAACTGCGCACTCTGCTTGCCTGGGAGCCTACCCATATCCTGCATCTTGACTTTTGGTTACCAGGAAGATGAACCGTCATTTCTCCCTCAAAAAAGTTCAGGGAAAAGAGAGAAAACGTGAAAAAAGAAAAAAAAAAAATCAAGCAGAGCCAGAGAGAGCACAAAGACAGACGGGGAGGTGGTACTTGGCACATGGCCTCCACTCCAGAAATCTTACACACCCACAGGAAGGTATAAATAACTATAAATTTATTAGTAAAGCAAAACCATTTGACACTCACACAGAAGAGCGGGATGTGTTAATACAATATATATACACACACATACACGGAGTATCATCTTAGAAACACACGGAGAGCAGTGTTAAAGGCACTGCAAGCCACACAAACCTCATCAACCTTGGCTGCAACTTCCCACAGCCCCGGGAACTCTGCCGGAGTCATGAGTGAAGATTAGGAGGAGCCTGAGAACCTCACTGGCCATGACGTCCCTCAGATCCACGGCTCGGAGGCATTCAGAGACAACCCCACGGTCCAGCTCCCACCTGTGGTCCTGCTCTCTTCACTGAGCATCCCAGGCATGCTGTGAGAGCAGCATCTTCACATCCAGAAAGCAGCAGGGCAGTGGAGGAGGCCTGGCAGCTGGGGGGAAGCTCTCCTGGCCTGGGGGGAGCTGCCAGCCCCAAACCTTGGCCTGCCCTTATTGCATCTTGGCATCTCGCCTGTGTGTGCAGGAACCTTCCCACAGGTGAACTCACCACCCAACAGAGAGAGTCAGACTCTGAAGAATAACAAGGGGTTTTGCCTGTTATTAATAGCCAGGCTTTGGCTGCAGCCTGGACTTAATGGCAAATACCCAAGGGAAGTGTAGAAAGTGCTCTCCACCCTGCTCTCCCCCCTGCAAGGGCTGGCTTGAGCACCCAGAGATGGTCCCAAAACTCTGTCAGAGGACACCTTCCCCTTCGTCCCCCACTCCAGCAGGTGGGCCCCAAGACCAGAGTGTGCACATCTCCCCATCCAGATCACAGGGATGGTGTCTGCTTGCTGGAGCACTGGCAGGGCCACCTGGGCATACCCATGGTCCCGGGGGTGTCCACGCCACAGTGAACTCAGCTCAGCCACCTGCTTGATGCACACAGATGCTCCACAGGCACTCCCAGGGGAACTAACTGAGGAGTCCAAGCCCACCCTACTGCCATGACTTCTGCCCTGGAACATCTGACAGTCCTTCACTAACTGAATCAGCAGCCTTGAAGAACTGGCAAAGGGACCCACCAGGGAAATGGCTGCTCTCACCCCCAGTGCCCATTTCCTACAGCTCTGTTCTGGCTCCTGGTCCTGGCTTAGACTTGCTCACCAGAGCCAGCTGTACCACGGACAAGATCTGGCTGAGCCAAACTGCCAGGCCACAGGCACTGCCCATGCCCAGCCAGACGGATGACCTCGTGTGGAGGAGGACCAGAGGCACCCACTGGATTCCATCAAGATTCAGGTCCCAAACACCTGACCTCACCATCAGTGGTTTGGTATCACCTGGATCCAGCCTCAGACTTAGAGAGGAACTTGGGGCTGAGGGGGGGTGGGAATGAAGGAAGAGACTTCACAAGCAAAATGTAAAAAGGGATGAAAAACAAAACACTTTATAATTAAAGAACTGAACAAAGGGAAAAGGGGTTGAGAAGGTCTTTTAAAAGTATAAGCAAAATAGATGTGGAGCAGATGGGGCTAAGACACGGCTAAAGACTGTAGGTAGGGTAAGGGGAAGTGAAGATCAGAAAAAAAGCCCAGGTCACAGACTACCTTCTTCCTGGACTCAGGAAGCCAGCAGCCCTAGAGAGAAGGATTTATGTCCCGGACAACATCCACATCACCTCTGCCCAGCCTAACCCTCCCTGCTGCCTCCTCAGCAGCACCCTATGCTCAGGCTGCCTACTAGGAGAACCACCCTTCGGGAGGGACCACCCACTGTCCAGCCCTACAGAGCATCCTCAGGGGGTCTGGCAACCAGGTCTTGAAGCCAAGCACAACCACTTGCCACAGGGCTGATGCAACATCAGCTCCAGCACAGCAACCCTCCTGGGTGTGAGGGATGTGAGAGGCCAAGCGGAGGCAGCGCGAAGAAGCCTGAAAATCGCCTGAAATAAATGTCAGAAAGGAAGTGCAGCACAGGTACAGAGTAGAAACATGTTTTACTCCCAAGAGGCTCTGGCCACAACTGCTCTTTGGTTTGAAAGGGAAACACCAGCAGTTAGCAGAGAGCCCTTTGCAGTGTAATGCCCCAGGGACATCGGCTCCCAGGCCAGCCCCTGCCTCCCCACAAAGCACTGTGCTCCTGACACTCATGTGCCTCCTGCTACTTCCATCACCTCTCACCTCACAGTACATGACATAAAGGCACAGCAACGGAGATCAACCTGCTCCCCCAGCCCACCTGTACACAACACTGCTGCTTCCAACTAGAAAATGCTCCTATAAAAATACACCCGAGTGCTCCTGGTTGGCCGCTCAGCCGCCTGCTCCACAGAGATCCTCCAGCCCCCAGCACTAAGGTCTGGCAGCTGAAGCCTCTATGGGCTTCTACTGGATTTGGGTTGTTGCAGGGCAGCAAACAGGATAGAGAGACTGAGTCACCATGGGCTCCCAGCCAGACCTAATAATGATGTTCTAATGCTGCACTAAGATGTTTTTGAACCGGGAGGCACCTACTCCCAGGTACTGGCTGAAGACCTGGACCCGGGCTCGTCCCTGCCAAGTTCTCCACAGCATCCCCTTTATCCCAGCCACAGGGCCCTAGGCACACAGTCCTGATCAGTCTCTCTGGCCAGGA